GGCATCATAGAGAGTCGGTGGAAGAGGAAGACGCCCCAGAAGATGGATTGATACGCGCGCTGCAACCATGGTCTTCACCACAGCCGTGGCTCGAGGCTGGTGCAGCTCCGAGCAGCGTCTCAGGCTGCTGTCGTTCGGTGACTGAGTCAGAATCCACTCGGTGGTACCTGACAACCATCGAACAGTGAATGCTTGTCATCAGTGTAATTACACTTGTGTACCGCACTTACTCTGCGTTCACGCAAGGGCCAGCATATCACACCGTACATCTGCATTGTGTTACGATACAGGGTACGATACAAAATCTGTGGCCCAAGGCGGGTAGGTGGTAAGGTTTTATGTGTGAGCTGTGGTATTCTAAGACAGAGGCTAAGGAGAAGTAAGGAGGCCTCCCATCGCTGTTTTCTTTTGATCTCAGACACTCCGGTGGTCATTTGGTTGAGCCGGCCCTCCATGTACCACTGGAGGTACATGTTCTGGCTCCTTGCCCAGAGCAGGGCTGGTTTTCCTTGACCTCCAAATGTACTGCTCCAGGGGGCCTGGAAGGAGAAGGCGCAGAGGGGCGGGTGGTGATAGATCTCCAGAGATGGAGTTTGTTGAGCTGTTTGACATGAGACAGATGTGCCCTAGTGTCAGCCAGAGACCTTGGCCCTGCCGGAGCGTCCTACACTTCAGTCTACATTAGGATAAAGTATGTGGCCTTCAGTTCTCGTGGAAAGTGTTTGCACGTTCTTTCCACGGGCAGATTCCTGCACCTTGAGGATGATGAGATGTTTACGCAGAGGTAGGTGTTGATGGAAAGCAGAAGCCCGGAGGCCAGGGAAGGGAGAGGATGCTGAGTGCGGGATTGACCGGGCCGTTTTTCTGGAACGCAGCGCCTGGCATTTATCATGCCCACTTAATACACTTCCTTCCTTAAGCCAGGATCACCCGGCACTTTGGATCTTGCGGGAACTTCTTGTCTTCTGCTCGCCTCATAGCACCCCTTGTGAGGCTGATTGTCATTCCACAAGGCAATGACCTGCTGTGCAGTTGTCCACTGGCCTGATGGTAAGGTCCTGTGTCTTTATGACATTTGGACCCCTTAGAATTTGGGGACTTTGCAAGAGGGAACGAGTGAATAAATAAGAGGTAGTCTTGGTAGACTAGAGAAACAAATTCCTAGACCTCATGTGTATAACAAAGTACTTTATATACAAGAGCAATTGAACATTAAGAGAACATCCCATCCCGGTCCAGATTAAGTGCATAACCCCAATAACTGGGCCATGTGTCCGATACTAATCTACAAAGTCCTCTTCCGACTCACAAGCACATGCAGTGATGCTGACTGCAGGAAGATCACAGACCAGTGGGTGGGAAGTCTTGTGGATCCAGTGGCCGTGTAAGCATCTCAGCGCTGGCAGGGGTCTCCACGTGGCTTCTCTGGCTGCGAGGCTCTAACGTAGTTCCATGTGTCTTATCAGTAGAGGGTCTCTCAGGGAGTGAGTCGAGAGAGAGAGAGAATGTAGGAAATACAGGAATTCCCAAAATCCTGAGGGGAAGGCCATGCCCACACAGAGGCCTCATTGGCTATACAGTGATTGACATGCTAGACTCCACCCTTTCACTCATAATCCTGTCAAGTCCCAAATTGACACCAGATTACGTAACTAGCACAAGCACTGGTCAGGAACTCTTGTGCAAGAGACCGAAACCTAACTCAAATGGACTGTAGTAGCGAAGACGGTTGTTTGAATGTGGCACAGTCGTTAGGACAGAATACACCGTTTTAGCTGTTTTTAGGTGCACAGTTCGGTGGCATTAATTCCATTCACAATGTGCCACCTTCCCAAACCCTGGCTACCAAGCCGGCTCTGTAAAATGTTACAGCAACCCTGAGTAGAATGGCTCTGTAAGGTGGAAATCTCTACTGAAGCCGACAGCCGCATCTTTCCCTTACGGACTGGCTGGCTGGTGGGTTTGAACTACCAACCTTCTGGTTAGCAGCCCAGCACGTCACCCACAGTGCCACTAGGGCTCTCCATGCAACCTTCGCTGCTGTTTTCAACACCACACGTAAGATGTGTGGAGTCCCAGGAAGAAGTGTCTAGGAAAACATTGGTTTTAAGCATTTCTGGGGTTTCAGGCATGGCTGGATCCAGGTGCTTCAACCATGATGTCAGGAATCACCTCGTCCCTTTCTCTTTGCTGTGAATTCTAATGGTGGGTTCCCCGCCCCCCATCAGCTCACTGTGTGATGGCAAGGTGCCTGCTAGCAAATTCCAGCCTTCCCTCCTCCTAGTCCACCCGTTTCCTTGGGCAGCATGTCCTTCCCCCTGGGAGTTCCCGGGTCTCCTTTGTGGTGGTCAGCCTCCGTGGCTGGGACCAGGGAGCTGAGATGCTGCTCTTGGCCAGTCCTGGGTCCTATCAGCATGCTTTTGTTGGAACTCATAGACTGAGATTCAGGGAGGGTCCGTTCCCCACAGAAAAATTAGGGCGTTACCCCAATTCGGGGCATGGACGGTGGACACGCAGAACTAATAGATGTCTACGTGAGTCGAGATCTTTTGGGGGGAGCGGCGGGGGGCGTGGTTTATAATGCCGAGTTTCTGGGAGGAGGCAGTATTGGCCCTTTGAGCAGGACATTTCTTCATTATGAGGGAAGGACTGTGCAGACCCGTGGTCTTGTCCCCTCACAAGGAAGTGACAAACCTCGGTCTCCCAACCCCCCCAACGTGGACGTCTTTGGGACAACCCTGCATGACCCCACACTTTTCTGAAATCTCCTGTTGGCGTATTTCCCCTAAACCACGAGTCTTAGGATTGCCGAAAGCAACCCCGAATCTGCATCCTGCCTCTGCATCTGCCCATTCCGAGTCACGCATGTAAATGAATGATGGACCATGTGGGCGCCTGTGTCTGGTTTCTTTCACTGACATGATGTCTTTGCGGGGCTTGCGTGGTGCAGCCAGTACCAGTGCTTTGTTCCTTTTCCTTGATGGATCCTATACCTGACGGTGTAGTGGTTACACATTGGGCTGCGATCCTCATGGTTGGCAGTTTGAAACTACCGGCAGCCCTATGGGAGAAAGATTGGGCTTTCTACTCCTGTAAACACTTACCGTCTTGGAAACCCACAGGGAGTCACTCTGAGTTTGAGTTTGTTTTTATTATTACACTATTACTGTAGAAGGCACCTTTGGCTAAGATGGCCAGGGCGTTCTTCTGCTTGCTTAAGGAAAGCCACTGTATGCGTGGACATTCTGCGTGGCTGAGAGCAGTGACGTTGTGAGTGGCCTCTCCACCCTTGGCTGTGGAGCCTGGAAAACAGCTGTGCCCTGTGCCGGTTGTCCGAGCCAGGACAGGAGCCAGCTTTGCTGGCCCAGCCCCTGGCCCTTGGAACCAGGTTAATCAATTCTTTGGAAGAGCAAGCCAAAGGTCTTGAACTCAGAAGACAGACAGCTCCACTAAGTGACTGTCGTGTGCCCTGGCCCTGTGCTGAGCCGCCTTTCACTCAGCGCCGTGCAGACGTGCTCCATGATTCCCATCTCACAGGTGGGAAAATGGAGACTTACCGCAAAGAGATGACCTGCTCGGGCTCACAGCTGATAGGCAGCAGGACTTCAGATTTTTGTTTTAAGTTTTTGCCTTTGAAGGAAATGGGCCACCCACCCAGCATGGCTCCAAGCCCAACCCTCCTGACTTCCAGTCAGTCTGCCCTGAATGCAGCAAGGTGGTCGGGGTGGGGCTGAGGGCTGGTTCTCATACGGGCCTTCAAGGGAGCACGGGGCCAAATGCGAGCCGTGAACAAACGTCTGTGCACCTGTCGGGGCTGGGGTTTTCCAGGTGGCATGTGATCGCCCGATGATCCCAAAGGGCCCTGTTGTTGACTCCCCTTGGCGACACCTGACACTGCCCTCTTCCCAGCAGGGAGGGCAGGGGCAAGGCAGCCAGGCCTAGCACCTGTTTGGCTGTAGGAATCCCGCCTACCCCAGGGCTCTTTCCTGTCCTTGCCAGGCAAAGCCCTTTCTCCTGGCGAGGGAGGGAGTGGTCGCAGGAAGACAGTGCTGTGTCTTAAGCGCTGCCACCAGTGTGGGCAACCCTGGCAGGCCCCAAGGACGTGGCTCGAGGGTGGCTTTGTCTGTGGACCAGGGAGTGGCCTCAGAGACCCTGTTGGCTCTTAATGCATTCCTTCTTCCTTCTCTTCCTTTTTAATTGCCCCATTTCCCGCGAATGAAGTTTAATTTAATCTGTATGGAACTCCTCCAGCCATCTTGTTATAGGTCAACCTTCTGAATGCGGCGACCCTTTCATATAGTTCCTCATGTTGTGATGACCCCCCCACCACCACCATAAAATTATTTTCGTTGCTACTTCAACAATGTCGTTTTGCTATTGTTATGAAGCAGGTGACCCCCAAAGGGGTCGCGACCCACAGGTTGAGAAACGCTGTTATTGACAAAACAGGTGAAGAGCGGAAAAGGCGAGAAGATTCGAGCGGCTGGGACCCGGGGAGCTTCCCTCATGCGCCAGGACTTGTGTGCCCAGCGTGTCATGGGCACAGCCACGTACAGAGCCGAGGCCCCACCAACGGGCAGAGGCAGATAGCAAATGAACACCTTCAGTACACTGATGCCTAAAACCGCGGATGCTACAATGTCGAGTGCTAGAAGTCGGAAGAAACAAACCAGGGCTAAAGGCTGGGGCACGATGGTGGGGTCTTTGGGGGCAGAAGTGGGCAGGCCTCTCTGGAGGGGGAGGGGAGCAACCAGGTGCCCGTCCGTTGCTAGCAGAGGAAGTGACAGCAACAGAGGCCCAGCGGTAGATGCGACTGTGCGTGGTGCCGGCCAGGACAAGGTGGTGGGCTCAGCCAGGGCTCTGGGCTGCTTGCCCTTCATTCATCCAGCTGCCAGATCCTCTCTGACAGAGAGCCGAGCGAGGCCTTAGGCTGGGGAGTGGCCGCCCCTGCCTGGAAGCACGCTTCAGAGCAGGTGTCCTTGTGGGTGTTGTGCTTCCAGGTGGCCCTGTCTACATTTGCTGTGTTCGTGACCGTCAACGAGAACAACGCCCTGGACGCCCAGAAAGCCTTCGTTTCCTTGGCCTTGTTCAACATCCTGCGGTTTCCCCTGAACATCCTCCCCATGGTCATCAGCAGCATGGTGCAGGTACAAGGCCTCCCTGTGGCCTCTGAGGTGCCCCCCCTCCCCACCCCACTCCCTCTACGCATGCTTCCCATGGTGATTGGCGAGGACGACTCTTTGGGGTTTAAAACTTCTTTTAATACTTACATAACCCGTCTCTACTGTAGGTAAATTTGGAAACACAGAGAGGCATATGGGAGAAAATTTAACATTTCACACAACCCTTCCACCTACCATTAATGTCTCTGTTGTGTGACCGTTGAGATACTGGGGCAAAAATGTGTAGAACCAAACAATTGCCAGTTCAACGTCTCTCTCTGTCTCTGTCTCTCTCTC